GTTGATGAGAAAGTAGACCGATTCTATGATACTTTGGGGAGAAGAGAGGGATCAGTGATTGGAAGTGTTACAGTTTTACTGGGTGGAAGAAAAAATGCTTTTAATCTTTCTCCCGCTGCCCCTCCAAGCCTGCTCTCTGGACTTGTTCTTTCCTATCCCATAATGAAATCTCCAGCACCTCCCAGAATGTTCTGAGCCTTTTAATCAACAATTTCATTTCAGTAATTAAAATATGCCTCCAGTGAAACATCGACACTCCAAACTCATTTAAACTTAAGGCCTCTCTCTTCTTCCAGCTTGACAACCAATACAGGGGAAGTTTGGGGAGGAGACATGGTTGGCTTAGGGTCTCTTCCTTACTCCACCTCCTTCCCCAGATTGGCAGTCATCATGTTTGATTCTTTCAGGGTCAAACCCAAGGGGAGAGGAGACTAGAATAAAAGAGCAAAGACACAGAAATGGTTGTATGAGGTGGTAGTGCCCTCTTGGGGGCAGAAGGACAATGGGGCTTCCTCCAGGCTCCCTTGACTGAGGCAGTGCCTCTTCTCCCATTTGCAGCTTAACAGCTTGCCCCTGACCACCTACTAGTCTATTGGGGTCCCCTTGCCCCTCTAAGAAACCCTCTTTCATAGGATTCTTTTTAAGAAGACCAAGACCAGCGCCCTTCTGCGCAATCACTGGATTCCTGGAAAACCCGTACCTGTGCCGCAACATCAGAGAAAGCACAGCTCCCTTCCAATGCAGCCTCTTCACTAGGTTACAAGGAGGAGGCAGCTATAGGCACAGACTCCATACTTGACACATTTCAGTCTGAGTTCCTCAAACTCCAGGGGACACGCTGAAAGCTCTCAGAACGGTCTTCTTGAATCCCTTCTAATTTGGTTTCAGAGGAAATGCCACAGCACTCGGATCATCTTTTAAAGAAAGAAGGTCCTCAAGGCTTGCAGAGGGAGATGGGTGATGTGCTAATGCAGATAGGACAGGTTTTACAATCTCTTTATTATGTCCTCACAGGTAGTCAAGCACTCAGCTTCAGCTATTATAGAATTCTGAGAAAGATGGAGTTTCTAACATACCATTACAAAAGTTACAGGGAAGCAGATTTCCAGCCAGCAAATGGTTATCGATCTAACAAAGTAAAGGGATTCAGGTCATAAAGTTGTAGTCCATCAGGCTCTAAAATTAGTGTTCAAACAGAGGTTGTAGAAGAAATTTCTGCACATAGTAGGAGGTGGTCAAGTAACATCTAACATTTCCTTTCCCGCTCTAGAATTTCATTATTTCTATAACTATGCTCATCCCACACTTAAGAAATAAATATATTTAAAAAGAACTACCTAACGACAACCACAACTAGTTCTTAAATGGAGCATCCCAAGCAGTGAACCCCTTGAATTTGGTAACAGAGCCTTTTACGTAGCCAGTCTTCTCCCCAACCCAGCCCCTAGAAATCACTGATCTGATTTCTGTCCCTATAGTTTTGCCTTTTCCAGGATATTATATAAATAGAACCACACATCCTGTGACCTTTTGAGGCTGGCTTTTTCCACTTAACATAATGCTTTTGAGATCTTCTATGTTGTGGTGTGTGTGCCAGTAGCTAGTTCCTTTATATTGCTGAGTCATATTCCATTGTATGGATGTACCACAATTTTTTAATTAAATTATTGGGGTGACATTGGTTAATAGGATCACATAGGTTAGATATACCACAATTTGTTTATCCATTTACATCTTAGTTGTTCCTAGGCTGAGTAATTATGAATTGCTATAATCATTCAGAAAAAAAGAAAAAAGAAAGTAATCCCAAAGTGGCATGAAAGAGAGTGCATGACTAAGTAGCATAGGTGGTATTCAGAAGTCTCAGGGGAATTCAAAAGAAGGAAAGGTCCTGATAAGGTAGAGTTTGGTTACAAATGATTTTTCTGCTTGTAGTACTTATCCCACACTTTTATAAATTTGTTTTTGGTGTTCTTCACTGCAAAGCTATCCTTCAGAATGAAGGACAAGCAAAGACTTTTCCAAACAAAAGCTAAGGGAGTTCAGCACTTCTATACCTGCTTTACAAGAAATGCTGAAAAGAGCTCTTCAAACCAAAAGAAAAGGATGCTAATTAGTAACCTGAAATCATATTAAAATAGAAAACACACTGGTAACGTATATAATCGAATTCAGAATACTCTTATACTGTAATATGGTATGTAAATCACTTGACTTGAGTATAAAGATTAATGGACTAAAGTATTAAAAATAACTATGGGTACAGTAATTTGTTAATGGCCACACAAAATAGAGAGATGAAAATTATGACATCAATGGGGGGAGGAGTAACAGGGTAGAGTGTTGTATATGATCAAAGTTAAGTTGCTATCTTAAAATAGACTATTATAATGTCTGGAACCTTATTTGGAACCAGATTCAAACAAATAAAAACATTTTTTAAAAAGAGCGAGTAAAAAGACAAGTTACCGACTAGGAAAAAAAATGTTTGCAAATCATATATGCCTGATACAGGACTTTTCTCTAGAATATATAAAGAACTCTTAAAACTCAGTAATAGGAAAACAGACACAAACAAAAGATTGGCAAAAGGTTTGGACGCCTCACCAAAGATGTATGGATGACAAATAAGTTCATGAAAAGATGTTCAAAATCATTAATCATAGAAATATGGAAGGTAAAACCACAAGGATGACAAAAATGTGGAGCAACTGGAACTCTCATACACTGCTGATGGAAAACTGCCAATCGCTGTGGAAAAGTTTGGCAGTTTCCCAAAACATTAAACATCTACTTATCCTACGACCCATTCTATCCCTAGGTATTTACCCAAGAGAAATAAAAACATATGTCCATACAAAGACTTATAGATGAATGCCCAATAGCAGCTTTATTTGTAACTAGTAGCCCAGTGCACGAATTCATGCACATTGAAAGGGAATTAACTAGAAGAAATATTTTAATATCACTATTCACCCTTTCTCTATAATAGAAGTGTCAACCAAATTCATGATCGACAATGACAGATCGAAACACATGCACGCAACTGGTGCCAGCGAGAGCTTTATATGTATCACGCATGCATGAGGCAACTTAGCCTTTTATACATACAGAATAAACTTGCTTAATTAGACCTGCTTTCTGATTTAGCTAAACTTTTTCCAACCCAGTGAAGCACCCCAACTTCTCTTTCAGGTAATTGTCAGCAACACAGCAGTAAATATCAACACAAAGCAGATTACTAATGTAGATCACGCAGGGAGAACAAAGGGTAAAATATTTAACTGCAGCAGTGATTGACTATATTCTGCACAGTGACAAAACCTGAAGTCATTTTCAAGGTCCACCATTTCTTACTTCTTTTCAGTCGGGTCAAGTTTCTAAGCTTTCTAAATTTACATTTTCCAGCTAATGAAAAGAAAATAGGAATCCACTGAGTCTCCTATCTACCTACTCCAGGACTTCTGTGAGGATCAAATGAGATGAGGCACAGGAAAACGCTTCACAGACTTTTGGTTAAAGTGTGAAATGTTTGCACCTGGCTATAAAGCAAGTCGTGTTCCTGGGCTGAAGAAACTGCAAGGAGGCTAGTCGTTGCGAGGGAGAGGAAGACGGGCATTGCTACATGAAGTCATGACCCAGACAGTGGGACACTTCGCATGTTAGCCTTTTATATGTATAGATAGCCCCAAACCCAAAGCAACTCAAATGTCCATCAACAGTGAATGAATAAGCAAACTGTGGAATACTCATATAATAAAATATTATCCAGCAGCAAAAAGGAATGAATTCTTGATAACCACAGATGAATCTCAAAATAGTCTATGTGAAAGAAGCCAGACCGCCCCCCCCGCCAAAGTACATCCTGTATGATTCCTTTTTTTTTTTTTTTAAATAAAATTCACTGAAATGCAAACTAATGTATGATGACAGAAAACAGATCAGTGCCTGAGGAAAGGGGCTGGGGAGGGTCAGGAAGAGAACATTACAAAGGAGCAGGAGGAACCTTTTGAAAGTGGTAAATGTTCACTATTTTGATTGAAATGGTTTCATGGTTGTATACCTGTCAGAACGTATTCATTTTTCCAATTTAAATATGTTCAGTTTACTGTATGCTGTTTATACCTCCATAAAGCTGTTTTTAAAATGCAATAAATGAATATGTTAAAAGTACCTAGAGGGCAGGATCAGACAGAGGTGCTAACAAGGTGTATCAGCCAGACCTCACCAGGTAAAGGTAAGCTAGTGTAGGCTGCGGTAGGTGAGGCTGCAGTGGCCGGGAGAGGGGAGACCCGCTTGTCCTCTCAGGTGGGCTGAGGGTGCAGGCTCGGTGCTGAAGGACAGTCTTTGGGCGGGAGAACAACACCTCAGACAAGTTGGAGAGGCCTGACTGTGAAGCCCTGGCAGGTTCTTCGTCCTCCTTCCCGCCCCGTTGTCAAACGGATCCCCAGGAGCCGGCTATTTCTAAAGGTGAGCACTTCGTTTTGTACAGATGGAGTCGGGTGGTGTTCCACGTGCAAGCTGCGACACTCAATCCACAGTGAAAGTAAACCCTTCCGATCAGTAATTGTAAGAAATTACCTCGCCGTGACCAGCAGGGAAATGACGCACCCTGGAAATCCCGACCTCAAACTCCAGCAAAGTACTGTATGGCCGACTCCAGTCTCCACAGTGGTTACCGGCCCGGCCCGCCCCGCCCTCCGGCTCCGCCCCTCCTTTTCTTCCGGTTGGGCTCCTCGGGGCGGGGCGGGGGGGCGGAGTCCTCCGGGGCCCCGCCCACGGTGCATCCTGGCACCGCCACGCGCAGCCTCGGCCGAGTCGCTTTACGGCCGGAGAAGAGGGTGGGTCCCAGACTTGCGGAAGAAGGCCGAGCCGAGGGGCGGGGGAAGATGCTTTTTGCGACAGGTCGTAAGTGACGGTCCAGGAGGCGCGACAGCAGCTGGAGGGCGGAGGAGGCGGGTTCGTGTTTCCCGGGCCGAACCGGGCTGTGGGGGGCGCGGGGCCTGAGCCCGGGCGGTAGCTGAAGGCCTGCAGTGACAGCATGGGTGAAGGGGAGCGGGGCGGGGGAGGCCTCGGGCTGCTGTGGGCAGTGGGTGGGTCTGAGGGGCTGGCGGGCTGGCGTCTTGGGTCCAGGCCGGGGATCTGACCCGTGGTTGCTGTCCCCGGAACCCACAGCGCGGCCCGTCTTGTGCTCGCCATGAGGCCGCAGCAGGCGCCGGTGTTCGGGAAGGTATTCATTCAGCGAGACTACAGCAGTGGCACACGCTGTCAGTTCCAGACCAAGTTCCCCGCGGAGCTGGAAAACCGGGTATGCAGCCTGGCTCCCCGCACCCACGCTGAGGCCAGGGAGGGAGGCTGCCCAGGGAAGGGGAGGGAAGGGGGTCTGGGCTGAAACCCGGCCGCCGAGTGCCCCGGGGCTCTGGGTAGGGGCCGTCAAAGAAGGGGCGTTGGCCACAGGTGTACGAAGAGGGTCCAGGAGCAGGACCTGGTGTTCGGAGCTGGAGGAGTCGGGCCAAGCCCCCGGGGGTGATGACCTTGTAGAACTGTGCGCTGCCCTGCCCTGCCCGGTGCCGGGCATCCGTACCAGCCGTCTTCTTCCCCCGGGGCCAACCACCCCCGCCCCGGGTTATTGTCCACAGAGATGAGGAACTCATTCCTCGGGCTCCAGGCCGCCTCACTCAACCTGTTGTGAGCTAGGTAGTCCTACCTCGTCACGCAAGAGGAATCTTCATCCTCCTCCTCGTGACTGGCGTTTGTGGCCATGGTGCTGGCCGAACTGCTCGGCAGAAAGGGTTTATGAAGTGCTGTGCCAGGCAGTGCGGACAGGCCTTCTTGGAACCTGAAGAACATAGAGCGTTAGAGGGGCCTGGATAGGGAACTGTCAAGAACAAGGCCTTAAACTCGCCACTCCCCATTATCACTGGGAGCCACCTGTGTGAGGTTGGCTTGCGTATCAAAATTGTCATGAGGACCTAAGTCCTTTGGGCAACCCTGCATACAGAAATGCAAGAATGGGGTGTTTCCCTTTTCTTCAGAATTAGCAAAAATAAAGTCATTGTATCTTATTTTAAAGATAGAATGAAGTAAGCCACCTGAATGTGTGTGTTTTCTTGTGCCCACATGTGTTCACGCGCCCAAAGAGAAACAAACTCTTTGGGTCTTGAGCCATGTTACATCCGTTTTCTGTTCAGAAGTCAAGTTCTGGTTAGATGGGAGCAAGTTTCGTGGCTTTCCTCTTTGACAAGAAGGGTGAGGGACTGGTAGGTGATTAGACATGCTGTGGGTGTGGGGCTAAGAAATGCTGGTCATGAAATAAGTGGGTGTAGGTGAGTCTGCAGTAGAGAAATGTGTAGCAGTCATTTAAAACCAGCTTGGAGCAAGGTAGGTGGTTTTACCTGATTGCCAAGGTTGGAAAATCAACAATAATCAAGTGTAGTGTCCTTTAGCTTGATTTATAACCTTGGGCAGGTTAGTGGCCCAAATATGTTTCTTTAAATACAAATTAAAGATCAGACATGTCTCATAAAGATTATGAGGTTAGCTTGTTTATGAAATGCCATATGAGCGCTGCATTTTTTTTTGGTCACGATGTTCTGAGTTAACTCACCCTGACACTAGTCGTTTGAAAAAGTGGAAATTGAGCCAGTTGCCTACTGGCTAAAACTACTGAATATTGTTCTGAAAATAATTTAACATTGCAGTTAGCATGTTTTACATGTTAGGACTTATGTGAAATGGATCAAATGTTTTATTTTTAAGCCTGTTTTGGAAACTCTGACTTTTACTATTTACGTACTTTCAAATCAGAATGTAAACTATTTTTTTTTCACCACACTTCAGATGTTACAAGATTCCTTTGTCAAACTTTGAACTCACGGTTGAGCCCAATATACCATAATCAGACATTAGTCTTCCGCTGTGTGTGGTAGAGCCTTTATTTTATAGTTGGAATACAGAATCATAATAGAGTCACAGTATTGCACTGTTTCTTACAGGAAGTTGGTGTTTCTGAATTCTGGAGTCCATTTATTTCTTGGACTGCATACAGCCCAGAACCGCTTGTGATTCTGAGTACTCCAGTATATGGAATGTTATATGGTGCAGTACAATGGTGCTTTTTTTTTTTTTTTTTTTTTTCCTTTTTAAATGTTTGGGTTAGAACACTAGCTTATACTTTTTAAACTGCTTGGGAAAGCTTTGATTTTATTTTTTCCTGTGTTGAGATTAAATTTAAATTACAGGTTTAAATTTTCCTTGTTTGTTTGATGGAAAATTGAAAGGTTTCTCTCTTTGTTTCTCAACTAACCCTAGAAATTGTACTGGTTGCTCTGCCACTGCGGCCGATTTTCCTTTTGTGAGAACATCACACTTGGCAACTTAATAGAGGAAGAAACTAATGCACAAGGGTTTTGTGTTACTTTAAAGCATTAAAAACACACACTGTTGTGCTCTTTAATTTGGGAGTGAGGACAAATTCTGTCTGTTAAAAAGTTTACTTTATCCGTTGCCTGTTCGAATGTAATACTTTGATGCCTAAATGCTTTGTTGCCAGGACAGTTCTTTAAAGGAGGCTTTATTCTCACTTTACCCAAAATACAGACATCTTCGGCACCTTTGGTCTGGGTAGATGAGAAATGAGTGAACTATAATTGAAGCATTTGTTCCCCTATATACCTTTAAAAATATGTCTCTACATTTGATCAGTAGAAATTACCTGTGACTTGTGTTTGCTTTAAGCTTCAGTCCCATGCTTTCTGTCTACCACATACTTCAAGAAACAAAAATTCTGGGAAAATGATGAGCCTGATTCCTGTTTCCATTATGACTTTCAATGTTTACTGATCCAAATTTGTATTTGGTTCCAACTTCACATATCTCCAGATTTTGATATAGCTTCTCTATCAGTGTCCAAGTAACTAGGGAGACCACTGACAGCTTTTCATAGTGCCTAAAGAGAGGGGGAAATGCCCACATTTGTTCTGGGGAGGCCTTGCGTGTTAAGTGCGTCCTTTGCCTTTACTGCTGCCTACATGGTTTTTACTTTTTTCCCCTTTTTAAAAATAACCTTCTAAAGAAATTCTTGGCTGTTTTTTTATCTTTATTTCTTTTTTCTTAACCTTTTTTCAATCCTTCACTTAATTTTTTTTTAAATGATCTATGATTTGCTTCCATCCTGCAAAAGCATTGCAATCTTGGAATCACTTTTAAGAGTTAGTGTTGCTGATGTGATTAGTGATTCTGATCTGAAAGAAACATTTCTGGTTTAGATCCCATGGTTTTGAATCATATTATGTCCAAAGAAATGTAAATAATTCAGAGAACTTTTTTATCCAATCATTGAATTGTAGGTAAAGCATAGGTGATTGTTTGAAATTATTTAGACTTTTGCAGGTTTACTGATGGACAAACTGGAGGCATTAACTTAGGCATAATTAGGTGAACAGTTTACCTTTAATATTTGTTCACTGAGCTGTTCTCCCATCTGTTTTCAGGGAATGAGAACTCTGACATAGGTTCAGCAGATGACCATTCTTGACAAACCATGTCTTCAAGTAGTTTGGCTCAGTGAAGGATTGCTGCCCTGGCTCTCAGTACCATTGCCACCCACCCAAACCTTGTCAGAAACTCTAATTTTCTTGGAAAGTAAAAGTAGCTCCTTTTGAAAAACAGGTAGAGCCACCACCATTTTAAAGTTTATATTAAACTTTTTCATGCTGTTGGCTAATTGTTTCCCCACCGGACAAAACAATGATTACTACTGCCTCTAACCCAGTGGTTCTCAACCTTGGCTGCACATTACAATCACCTGGGAATCTTTTTAAAATCCTGATTTCTGAGCCTCATCCTCCGGAAATTCTGTTTCTTTGTTATGGGGTGAGGCCACAACATTAGTAACAAAGAATCAGAATTTCCGGAAGATGAGGCCCAGAAATCAGGATTTTAAAAAGATTCCCAGGTGATTCTAATGAGCAGCCAAGGTTGAGAACCACTGCAACCTAAACAGTTTTAATAACTTAATAAAGATGATGATCATAGTTTTATACTTTAAAAAATTATGTTCTTGGGAATAATTTGTCTCAAACTGTGATATTGAGGTTCTTAGACTTCTTTTAGTCTATTTTTATATAGGCTTCATAAAAGAATTCATGTGTAGGTATTAGTTTTAGGAATAAAGAAGGCCTAAAGTAAGGACAGATTAATTGTACTTTTGTTACCAAGAATGATAGTATCAGATGAAATACTCTACTAATGGTCCTTGAAAGTCCTAGAGTACAGTATTAAGATTTTAAAATGTAGAAAGCACCGTTAGAAAATAAAATGATACTGGAAGAAGAAAGTAAAAGCAGGTGAATAGAGTGAAAAGTGAATGACAATAGTATTGGTATAAATGTAAAATGATAGTGTCACTGAATAGAAGGAGGTGATAGGAATGACATGGAGTGAGTTGTGCAGTAGTTTGAGATTTTGCCTTATTCATGATGAGCTTTTAATACTAAATAGTTACTTTAATATTGATGGAATATTGAGTAAACAAAAAACAGAACTTTGCACCTTTTGATTCTTCTGCTTAAAATGTCCTTCCCTGCCTGTGTTTAGCTATTGAATTTAAGATTATCTGCTCTTTCCAGATCAAGGGAAGGTCTCTTCCACCATACTTTATGCCTCTATTATAGTACTCTGTCAATTTATTGCATTTTTATATTTACGTATTAGTGCTGCTCACTTTACTGTAAACTCCTTGAAGACTGAGTCCGTCTTATTAATCTTTCTCTAAGGCCTGTCATAATACGTAATGGTAGGTGCTCAGTAAAATTGAATATAACTGAATTGAAAGATCGAAGAATTGTATAATTTAATTTACTTGAAATTCAGTATAGGGAATAAAAAAACACTATATTGAGATTTGAAGATATCTAATGTTCATAATAGTGATAAAATTAAACAAGTACTAAGCAGTTCTAGTAACTTAGGTCCATATTTAATCACCTAAAAATTGTATGCCGATTATTAGATAGGAATGTTGACAAAAAAGCAAAATAAGTTAGTGATAGAAAGCATTAGTGAGTAGCTAATCTTTTTTTCCAAAACTTACTTTTAAATTCTTTCCTGTACAGATTGATAGGCAGCAGTTTGAAGAAACAGTTCGAACTCTAAATAACCTTTATGCAGAAGCAGAGAAGCTTGGGGGTCAGTCATATCTTGAAGGTTGTTTGGCTTGTTTAACAGCATACACCATCTTCTTATGCATGGAAACTCATTATGAGAAGGTAAGGCTACCTTTACTCTATTTCCCCAGATTTCTATCTTAAGTTCTGTCCTCCCACCTTAGTCTTTTGTTTGTGTATTTGTTGTTTTTTGTTAATCCTCACCTGAGACTATTTTTCCCATTGCTTTTCCGACAGAGTATGAGGAAGGAAGAGAGGGAGGGAAGATGGGAGAGTGGCTTTCCTCTACCCTAGAATGCTACTCTTCCCATGTTCAAATCTCACCAGTCCCTTAGGTCCCACTTTCATCTAAATTTTCCTTACTTTTCTAATTATAGTCTTTCTCTCCTTGGTATCCCCACAATATTTTATTTGTATCTGTTTCCTGGCACTTAACACTCTACTTTGGAATGCAAGTTTACATTCTTATTTGCCCATCAAGTATGTATTTTTCTTGAGGTCAAAGACAGTGCCTTAACCAGTATATATCCCTCTTCATGCCTGACACCATGCCTTGGGTATATTAGACACTCCCTGAATGTGTGTTAAATGAATGTATTTAAGTTAATCACAGTAAGCCCCTATTATTAAATTCTGATATCTATATTATATCCCACTTATAGAAATGTCCCTGTGATTGTCTTGTACTCCATGCAATAGAAAGCAGATACAATTGTAGCAAAAAATATTTTGAGCTAGTGTTACAAAAAGGGTATCTATAATAATAAAAGAGTAATATGCTAATTAGACCAGACGTCCTTCCGGACAACCTTCCGGATGAAGCCGGGGCTGCGAGGGAAGCCTGGGTCCCAGGTGCCTGCCAGCGGCTGGAGGGAAGCCCGAGTCCTGGGTGCCAGAGGGAAGCTGGAGCCAGCAGCTGGGGGAAGGAAGGCCTACTCTTGCACAAATTTTGTGCATTGGGCCTCTAGTATTTAAATAATAACTTCATAGTGTATGTCCTTCTCCATCCTCCTATATAATAAAGAGGTAATATGCAAATTAACCCTTACACCCTCACAAGATGGCTGCCTACGACCAGGCCATCAGGGGGGTTAGTGAGGGATGACCAAATGACTGAACACCAGGCTGCGTGGGGCAATCAGGCTGGCAGGGGGGTTAGTGAGGGACGACCATACGACCAAGCAGCAGGCTGCGTGGGGCGACCAGGCCAGCAGGGGGGTTAGTGAGGGATGACCAGATGACTGAACACCAGGCTGCGTGGGGCAATCAGGCTGGCAGGGGGGTTAGTGAGGGACGACCATACGACCAAGCAGCAGGCTGCGTGGGGCGACCAGGCCAGCAGGGGGGTTAGTGAGGGATGACCAAACGACTGCGCAGCAGGCTGCGTGGGGCGACCAGGCCGGCAGAGGGGGGCAGTGAGTGGCGACCAGGCCAGCAGGGGGGGCCTTGAGAGGCAACCAAGCCAGCAGGGGGGGCGCAGTTGGGGGGCGACCAGACCAGCAGGGGGGGCAGTAATGGGTGACCAGGCTGGTGGGCGGGGGGGCACTTAGGAGTGACCAGGCTGGCTGGGAGGGGGCAGTTGGGGGCGATCAGGCTGGCACTCAGAGGCAGTGAGGGGTGATCAGGACGGCAGAGGGAGCGCAGTTAGGGACAACCAGGCAGGTAGGCAGGTGAGCGATTAGGAGCCAGCAGTCCAGGATTATAAGAGGGATATCCCCCAAGGGGTCCCGGATTGGAGAGGGTGAAGGCTGGGCTGAGGGGGGACCTCCCCCCAATGCATGAATTTCATACACCGGGCCTCTAGTATCATACAGAGAAGCAGCTTACTTTCATTCCTGGTTAACATTCAGAATTTCAATCTGTTTTGTCATAGCAGCTTCTCTTTAATAATACATTTTCTGAGTGAAGGGGATAAATCTGATAAATATTTATTGAAAGCCTATATGCTAACCAGTTTGCAGGGGATATAACTGAATAGGGCAAACGTGGTTGCTGACCTTGTGGAGTTTATAATTTAGTGGTAACAACTGATACTAAGGAAACAAAACCAGCAAAATTGTAAAATGTGATAAGTCCCTTGAAGAAAACAAACTCTCCTATGATAGAAAATAATAGGAGAGACCTAATTTAAATTTTGTGGTCCGAAAAGGCCTCTGAGGAGGTAACATTTATACTGCTACAAGAAGGATGAAAGCCTGGAGACATTTAGGCAGAGAGATCAGTGCAGGGGGAAGCTACTCAAAGGTTTTAAGCAGGAGAGGGATATGATCAGATTTTCATTGTAAAGAGATCTCTCTGCTCTGTGAAAAAAAGTTATGAAAGTAGGGAAACCAGTTAGGATGCTCTAGAAGTCCAGGCAAAAGATGATGATAGCTTGGACAAGGAACAGAGCAATAGAGATGGAAGGGGGTAAGCAGACTCAAGGGATATGTTGGTGATAGAACCAAGACTTGATGAAGAGCTGAATGTAGAAGTGGAGGGTAAGACTGAATTCACATGGATAAAAACTTGGTCATCCAGGATGGTCTTTTAAAGAAGTATAGAATACTGCCAATTTAAATTAGAAATACATCCTCCAGATTATTTTATTCATGCTTAGTGGAATATTAGATGCTTGAGTTGTCATTTCACTCTAGCTTTTAAATTTAAGATTTTAATTAAACTTATTTACCCATGTGCATTGGCTGAAATAGATACAGGTAGCTCCTTCTGATGTCAGTTGTAAAAAGAAATTGGTAATTGGGTGACAGCCAAGTCATTTACTAATTATGGGATTATAGACAAGAGAGGTTATTCTTTAAGAGTACATTCTGTAAAATGGCTGTTAGCATTAATAAATTCCCTCATATATGGTAAATGCTTAGAAAGTGTCTTCTTAAGATAAATTTAAGAATTAAGTTAGTATATATGTATGTTTAATCAGATATTTGTGAAGTGACATGATTTTTTAAATTTCAAGAACAAATAATCTTTTTTCAGCTCTTAATTAAAATTATTTTGATGATTAATCTTGGGAGGCAGTTCTCAGTATCAAAAATATAGTGGAGCCCTAGCTGGTTTGGCTCAATGGGTAGAGCGTCGGTCTGCAGACTGAAGAGTCCCAGGTTCGATTCCGGCCAAGGGCACATGCCTGGGTTGCGGGCTTGATCCCCAGTAGGGGGTGTGCAGGAGGCAGCCAATCAATGATTCTCTCTCATCATTGATATTTCTATCTCTCTCTCCTCCCTTCCTCTCTAAAATCAATAAAATATATTTTAAAAATATATATATATAGTGGAAATTGATTGATCCTAATTATGTTTTAATTTGGTTTCATAGGCAATATATAAGGTACTACTTTATAAGTCTAATCAAGGTCCTTTACAAAGTAACTATTATAAAGCAAGTAAAGACCAAATAAAATTAGTCAAGAAACCAAAAGTTTAAGGCATGGCCACATTTTTAAATAGGAGATTTTAACCCTAGCTGATGTAGCTCAGTTGGTTGGAGCATCCTCCTGTGTACCAGAAAGTCATGGGATTGATTTCTGGTCAGGGCACATACCTAGGTTGTGTGTTCAGTCCCCAGTCAAGGTGGGTGTGGGAGGCAACCAATCGATGTATCTCTCTCACATCAATGTTTCTCTCACTCCCCCTTCTTCCCTCCCTCTCTAAAATCAATCAGTCAAATAAACAGGTGATTTTATTTTAGAAACTGGACAAGAATAACTACATCATGGAAAGTTAATAACTAGAACTGTCATACTCTCTCTCTATATATAAAAGCCTAAGCGACCGGATGGCCAACCGGTAGCTATGACGCACATTGACCACCAGTGGGCAGATGCTCAACTTAGGAGCTGCCCCCTTGTGGTCAGTGTGCTCCCATAGCAGGAGTGCTGCTCAGCTGACAAACGGGCGCCAGACGCCGGGCTCACAGCTGGCAAGTGCTGCTGTGGCGGCACGACCCTCTCCCGCGGATACTCCCCCTGCGCGCCTGAGCGTGGCCCTGGTGGCAGGCCCAGTGGGGCCAGGATGAACTGGACTGGCGCCCAGCCCAGCTCAGGCTTCTCCCCTACCACCTGTCGCTTCCCACACTACTTTATGCTGTGCAGGATCGACACAGACAGCGGGCTGGAGCCCGATGAGCTGGTGGGTAAGGCCGGGCTGCAGCGGCAGTCCACTGATCCCCGCAGGCCCGGCCAAAGGACCCCACCGGTGCACGAATCTGTGCACCGGGCCTCTAGTTAAGATATAATGTACCAATACTTTTAAAAGAAAACTTTTCATATGTATATTTTTATTTTTTATAAAATGATAAAAGTATGAAAATAACTACCCTCTCCCTCTCTAGTTTATCTCTTAGGAATGTTCGTGGTATTATTTTCTACTTTATGAAAAGACAGGATTGAATCATTTAGTCTTTATTGTTTTAAACACTAAAATTTCTAATTTACAAACAGTAAGCCAAATATAATAGTGCTTACACTTTGTCGTGTGGGTTAAATTTTTGAAATTATAAATAGGCCTTTGAAAACTCACTAGAACAATCATGCATTTTTCCTATAATGTGCTCTTTATTGGTTTAAAATGAAAATAAAGACTTCAGTGTTATTTCTCTATTGTTGCTGCCCATGATAATTAGGGAACAAATGGGATTGTAAAGGTTCCCTCAGTAGCTGTCTGTCTTATTCATCAACTATAAAACATCCCTTCTGCCTATGTGCTATAATCTGTAAAAGGAACACAGTTAGAAGGAACTTAGATTTTTCTGAAAATAGCTGTGATCTTGGTGTTCTCTATTAGCCTCACTTAAGATATTTTTTCTCAAGGGTCTAGGAGGCTTTCTCCAATTTATTATTCTCCAGGAGCATAACAGTCTTTCCTGAGGTTTGATTGTGTTTAGCTTTGTAAATATTATGCAAATTGGGGTTTGTTGAGGGTCTGAAGTTAACAGATATAAAATATGAATAAATGTCAACATAAGATTCTTAGGGGTGAGAATGGTGCTTTGTTCAGTATGGGATGCAGTATGAGTTTACTCATATTAATGCTTTCCTATTGCTAAAGAGACTTAAGAGTTTAAAAGCATCCTGTTTAGGACAGTGCTGCCTTCACCAAAATAGTATAAGAGGATTTGGAGCTTATACCAAAAAAACTGTTTTCTTTCTAAACTGATTCCCAAGTGTTCATGAATGTTATTAAAGTTTAGACAAAAACCGGCACAACAAAGTTGTGCTTGAATCAAATAAAGGAATGCCATTCCTTTGCTACCAACCTGTGCCCAAGGAGAGAGGGAGGAAAGCTGTTCTGAAGGAATCCTTTCTTTGGAACCAGCCATGCAAGCATTCTTCTGAGTGTCCTCTTAGTATTAATGGACCTCAGAGAGGGGAGACTGACTCTCCAATTTCCAATCTGTCAGGTGAGCTGAGAGGGAAATCGGAGAGAAGATTGAGAGAACTGAGTTGGGTACCTTTAGGGGCTACTTCCTTCTATTCATTGTTTTAGCATGATTGACAAACTGATACAGAGATAGTGTCTAAGCCTTTTATTTTTTATTTTTTTGTCCATAAAGACTGAGCACTGCTCAAATTCTTTGAGAGTTGAAAATAGGAGAATGATATATGTATTACTTCAGGTAATTACTAGTTGGTGAAAAAAAATCTTTTCTTTAGAAATAGTATTTCTTAATTTACACCACATAAGGTTGCTCTTTTAGTATGATCATGCTCTTTTTAAAAAGCATAAAACATTAGTTTATATTATTTCCAAAAATGTAACCTGAATAAACCATTTAAATTATTTTCCTGCAATAAGAAAATTAGTTATACAAACCACATAGAGTTTTAAATTCTAAATCAGTGTATACTAAAACCTAAATTGTAGCATCCTAAACTGTTGGTTTGGCCTCATACACTATAGACCCCACTCTTAAGTCATTTTTTAATTTCCAGCTTTATTTTCATACAGTTCTTTTCTCCCTTTGTGATCAGATTTATCTGTGACTTTATCATATGCTGATAGTGTGAATTTAAGAAAATATATAGTAATTAAAGAACTGGATCAAAGTCCCTTTGAACATTAGAGCCAGAAGAGGGTTCTGATGGCTTTGAATCTGAAATAAAACATGTAAGTCTTTGATTTTGTATATAGCTATTAAGATTTATTTTCTTTTAGCTTATCTGTCTCGGAATTGCCCTTATGAAAGCTGGAGATTTGGCAATTTCCAGAAGTTCCTTTGTATCCTATCTGGTTTTTGTCTACATTTGCTTTGACTTTTACAACCTTAATACTAAACTTATAAATTGAGGTTCCCGTCTAGGACACAGGAGCAACTACAGAGTAGCACTACATGCGGTCATGGAAATGATATAAGACACTTGTAGTCATCAGAAACTCCCTGGCAGCTAACGCCCACATGCCTTACAAAGGAAATAAAATGTTCAGTTTAAACTAGCTGGGCTACCTTTTGTTATTGGCCAACTTTGTATCATTACTCAAAGTTGATGAAAATGTACAAAGAAGAAGCAATTCTTAAGTGTTAAAGGAGAAAGCCAAGAAGTGCCCTTGATATTAGAATATGTCACATTAACGACACTTTATGAGTAGGGAGAGAGAAAAGCATAACTAACCGTTGAGTATGTAATCGTCTGTTTCTCTAAATCCAGGATTGAGGTGACTAGGAGGTGAGGAGGAGGGGGATTGGGTCTCATGCTTTTGTATGCATTTCTACTTACACTGCATTGGAGATATTTGTGACTCGAAGAGTCCGTCGTGCTGTGCTATATGTTGTATGTAACTGGTGTGAGCCAAGTAATCAGAGCTGTATCCTTCCATAGGAATATCCATGACTTGCTCTGAAAGCTAATTCCACTGCCTGAAAATTTTGAGATTCAGCTGATACTTAAAGGGAAATCCGATGAAATTTGTAAAAAACTGCTATTTCTTTCTGTCAGGTTCTGAGGAAAGTCTCCAAATACATTCAAGAGCAGAATGAGAAGATATATGCTCCCCAAGGCCTCCTCCTGACAGATCCTATTGAAAGAGGACTTCGAGTTGTATCTTTTTAGTCCAGATCTAAATGCCTGTAAAAAGAAAACGTCAGTGGTACTATTTGGCATTCGCCAAAGAGAATTTAACTCCTGAATTGTCTTTGTGAATTTCATACCTACCATAAGCCCCCTCTCTCCAGCATTTTTTCTTAAAGGATGCCTCTCCTTCCTTTGCATTGTTCAGGTCTCTGGATTGTTTAGTATTCTGGTTACTGTCTTTTTTGGTGGTTCTGAGGGCATCTTGTACTAATAATGGGGGTGGTATGAGTAATGCATTTCATCTGCAGAAACTCTGGACCTAAAGCTCCTTTGAAATGCATAAACTCATAAATGTGGTGAGACTTGTCATCCAAATGAATTGCAGTTCCATGGGTTCATCTGACTAGTTGAAATCAGTTGCAGCTGCCAAATGTATAATTTCATTACCTTTGACATACTGTGCATATTTTTAGAGGCAGTAAGCTTTGAAAATCACTAAGTGAATTTGGGAAATAAAATTGCAAAAAAACTAATACAGCTTGATAACTGGAGTAATGGGTAAAATAATTTCTTTAAAAAACCTAGGTCAGATAATCCCAGGCCTTCCTGCTGATAATAAGTTCAGTAGTTTTATTATAGTCTACAGCAGTGATTCTTAAATTTTTAGAGGTCATGAACCCTCACCCAAGAAAAAGTTTTCATATAATTTCAGGGTATTTTGAACCCCTGAATTCATTACCTCTGTGGATTCTCAGTTAAAAAAAACCCTTTTCTACAGTAAAGCATTCTTTTTCTGTTTTTTTTCTCTCAATAAATAATCAGTGTTTGGGGAGGAACTATATGTAGAATACTACAAGCAATTATATTTCTTAAATTTTTCAACAAGGTGGAGAAAGCATCATATTTAATTTAAGTAGAAGAAAGTTTTCATAATTTAAAAGTAAGCAAAGCAAATTAAAGTCTGTACAGACCATACATATCATCTTGCTATAGCCCCCTTTTATATGTTATATTCTATAGTGTGTTTTCTTAACAGCCATGCTGTTTAGATCGAAATTACCATTTATGAAGACAGAGGGATGAGCAGTGGAAGATAAACCATGGAATTAAAGGTAAATATGAAATTATATAATTTATATGTGGTTTTTGTAATTTTGTAGGATGTATTAATTTTCTTCCCTGCATGGTAAATAAATTGTTATATGATGGCATGTTTTCTGTATTACTTCATATTTAAGATGTGTACTTAACCCAAAGTCTGTTTGGTGATACAGAATTTAATACTGATCTCCACCCCCCCTCCTTCCCCCCAGTATTGTTTTCAGACTAGTTTTTTGGGTTTTGTTTTTGTTTTTTTTAAATATATTTTATTGATTTTTTACAGAGAGGAAGGGAGAGGGATAGAGAGTTAGAAACATCGATGAGAGAGAAACATCGATCAGCTGCCTCCTGCACACTCCCTACTGGGATGTGCCCACAACCAAGGTACATGCCCTTGACCTGAATCGAACCTGGGACCTTTCAGTCCGCAGGCCGATGCTCTATCCACTGAGCCAAACCGGTCAGGCTCAGACTAGTTTTTTTGTTTCTTTGGTTTGGGGGATTTAGGGGTGAAGGAAACATGTTTCATTTTAATA